ATCAATAATTAGATAGGTAATTGTGGACGTAATAATTCTTGGTGATATTTTGAAGTTTTTTAATATTCGATATATCGTATTTATACTGATCAGAGCTGCTATTTCTAATTAACTATTGCTATCAAGGCATTATTGTATATAATACAATACGAGGCTCAAACCAAAGTACAATAAAGTATATAACAGGAAATACGGAATTTATTCCCGCTGTTCAACCGTTGTTATATTAAATTATGCGCGCAATTACATTTATATTAGAAAGTTGATAGCATGCTGATTTAATGCCACGCCTATTCTTATACAAAAACGACTAAAGATGGATACTGATTGGTTGTTTTAATTTGGAACGGCACCAATCATAGGTAGGAAGTGTAGGATAGGATAAACCTGCTGTCAATATCGTGACCCTATTAGTATAAGATAACATTTCTACCGAGGGGGTGAGGAAAGCCGACGAGGCGGCTTCATCATATAGCGTACCACGGCCGCGCGCCCGGTTACCAGTCCATGTCTATATCGAGTTTGGGATTAGTTTGTATTCACGCTAATTCAAATGGCGATTAAAATGATATATTCATTCTGTTCGATCATTTGTTAGTTTATCAGATTTGGTGGTTTCATAATATTTGTCTTTAACCTTGCCGGTGAATTAAACTTGATGCCCGTATATCATCCGAACGCCATTATCACTATTCTTCACAAGTTAGTTAAATATATTTCACACTCGTATGTTCGCTGATGACTTCGGATAATAGTACAGTTATGGCGGAATACTGAAGCCAATAGTTCAATCACACGTGACAGATCATTTGCAGGTGACAATGTATTGATTTCGCTTTTGTATCGTTTGTTTAATCGAAATCGTTATGCAAAAATATCGCTTTTTGTGACTGGTGTTGTCCATCAGTTTGTTGCCAAACCATCGAGAGCGCACAGCGAAAAGACAATGAGTTACTGGTCAAAAATGCCATCCCCTCTTTAGTATGTTAGAACAGGCGCGAATTCACGTAGTATAAAAAACAGCTTTGTACCGTAAATACTTAGGATACTAATTTCGTGGAAGTGTATTTTGAGGTGACCGTACATTTGAACCCACGTACATTTGAACCCATGTTAAATATCCACGGGTTTAATCTATATGCGGGTGCTAAAACCCATGGGTTAGGGTTAGTATGGGTTCAACTATCCGAAAAACAAAAAAAATTCCATAGGTGCAATAGCATACAGGTGCAATTGTCATGGGTTCAAATGTACGTGGGTTCAAATGTAATGGAACCGTATTTTGATCGTAGAAGATTAGCAGAATTTTTTTTATCTTCAGAATATATATATGCCAAATAGTTTTCATAGCTTTGATAGTTCCGGGGGCAATAAATTCTCAATTCCAAATTAGATTCGTTCTTTACGTCCATTCTTGTCTCGATAGTATATTATTTGTAGAAAGTGAGCCTTTGTGTAGCTCTACATCTGCTCAGCATAACTCTGTAAATTCCTAGGACGTTAATTTACGGCAGTGTATTTTACCAACAGAATAATTTTTATCAGATAATATGTCTTTTTATATATTTTAAATATATATGTTTAAATGTTCCAAGGGCAATAAATCCCCAATTCTAAACTATTTTGGTTTTGTGCGATCCGATACAGGGTGCCTTCTATCCGTTATTATGATCGTATTAAAGAATTTACGCAATGGGTAATAAAATTAACACGAGTAGTTTGAAAGAATTATCCATGTTTTATGTCCAAATTACCGTGAAAGATTGCGCTGTGTAATCTTATTTATTGTGCAATATAGGAACAGCAGGCGATTTTTATATCAAGGATTAAGATTATATAGATATTATAATCGGTGTTTATTTAGTTGATAGTATTTTCAATGAGTCTTTACATTAGATTTTTGAAATATCAGAAGCATATTAGCGATGATCAAGCTAACCAATACACATCAGAATGAAAGTTTATATCGGTCTATAGGGCGGTGCCAGCCAGTTCGATATTTCAATTTCAGTATAGTGGCTATTCCGAACTCGCAAGCAGTAAGGCTATTGCGTAGCGTAAGTGGAATAATTTAGTCTTTTACAGCGCGGAAAGGCATATCATCGTTCAACGATTTTGGTTAGTTATTACCAACTATATGAAAATGGGTGCGTGATTTAATTTCTTCATATGAAAGGTTCTTCAGTAAAAAGATAGCATTGCTAATATGGTAAAAGCGTACGTGTGTTTTTCATTGTGGTTTTGCAGTCACGATCATTAAAAGGAAACTCCCGTACGATATCTTATTTGTAAGCGGTGAAAGAAATCAACTAATTTTAAGCAGAAGATGGAATAGAGTATTGCAAAATAGCTTGCCGTATAAACTCAAATTTTGTATACTTTAACTTATCAGCTTTTGTCACAGCTCATAATCGCCTCCTAATGCTTTTCTTGTCACCATTATTCTGGTGATGGTTTTTAAATATTGAACTGCAGGCGTATAATGTAAATTATTATTTCTAACAATTAAATAGTTATTTGTCATGTATGTCGTTGCATTTCAAATCAGCTTCAACGCCTTCTCATCGCTTCTTTAGATCGATGGTGGGTTTAATCGTAACGAAGTTTCATGCGTATTCTCTCAATATGTTTTTGGTGAATAAACATATATAACAACTAATCATAAAAATCGTGAGTAGTTCGTGAGCAATTCTTTTAAAATGGAGTGGTGGACTCTAATTTTTGCACTTGACATTTAGTTGCACTTGTCTAAAGTATTCTCTACGTTGGGGGTCCTAAATTATGGTAAAAATCTTCCAAGTTATGTGGAGTTATTTCGTTACGTTACGACGTCACATTTTCAAAACCTCTTTTTTAAGTAAACTCATATATAGTTGTATATAGTTATATACTAGTGGAGATGGTTAAAAATAAAGTAAAAATCAGACAATTTCACAATTTGATATTTGAGGTTTTAAAGGGAAAGTAGATTTTCTTATTTCTCCCATGCAGTGCTGGCCTATTTATCAAATTTTGGAACACAACATAATGAGTATTGGATCTTTGGCTAGCATTCTAAACTTGGCAATGACTCTCGCAATATTTTCGTCAAACTCAATTAGTGTAAAACCATAACTTTGCTAATAAATACAAACAATAGGTTAATTGACCTCGGAATAGTTAGAGAGTTATTTGCGAAGTTGTTTCCGAAATATTAAAATCATTAAACGAAACCATTTCGAAGAAAATGAACTATTAGTCGCACTAAGAGATGGCCTAGATTGCGTTGCTTTTTTTTTAAATGTTGTAGCTTCTCAGACCATTCTCAGAATGGCTATTTGTCGAGAGATTCGTTTGGTGAGATGGAGAACTTTTCATAGGAAAAAATGTAGGACAAGTTTGGTACACTTACACGTGTTTGGTGCGACGATTTTATTCAACGAGCCAGCTCCCTCTCTATTTAACACTTTAAAAGCTTCAACGTTTTGCCGGACCCTACTCGTAGCTGATGTTCCCTTAAGACGTTAATAGAGCTGTATAAAAGAGAGGCGACAATGATCGAAAAAGCAAAGAGAATTTTGCTCGGGTAAATCATTACTCGTTCGTATTATCTTCTTCAAGCTGAATGTCCGCTGTCGATAAATTTACCAAATGCTAGGTTCCAAATCATTATAGCATTAACATAGTTTTAAAAGAATTTTTAGCTCCTACGATCTGACGAAAATTCGTTCTGGCGCCGATAAACTTATTGTGATGACTCGAAGAACAAACAAATACACTCGCCTCTATCTTTCCCGTGATAAATTAATTTGTTCGTTAACTGCTCAACTCATTAACGTCGACTCTAATTGCAGCGCAATCGCCTGCGTCGAACAAAATTTCGGCGCACTGAAGCATATCGTTTCAATCCGAACAAGTATGAGTCCGTGTTTATAAATTGAGATTCACCGAATAAAAATGGTGAGACCGAGCCAAAGATATAATCGATCGATATACAACTCATGTGTATCAATGAATTTCATTTTGGCATGGTCGTAAGTTAGGAAAGAATTCCCTTCAAGTGTCGGCTTCCATCTCTTTCGATTGTAACCATTCAAAATTGATATTACTTTTACCGCAACTTTTCAACGTGTACATGCTTGTTTTATCACAGTAATGTATGTGTACCAGGTTAGGGTTAGGCCATAATTTTATTCCAATTTTCCCTATTCTAGTTCTATTACGAGTTCGGGAACTAGCCGAGTACCTCCTGTAGTATTTGTTCCCTGAAATTATGGCCTAATCCTAACCTGATACACATATTACGTTCCGGTGTCCACCATCTTGGTTCACATACTTCGGGAGTATCCTTTCGATTATAACAACTTAAAATTGCCATTACTTTAACAGTATTTTTTTTAAATTGTGAACATGCATGTTTTATCGCTATTACCAGCAATGTAGTAGGAACTATGTTCTTCGCTTGATTATGCGAGATACAAGACGTGAAATTCGTCAGGTGATATTACCCAGTGGCAGATATCTGATAATGCTGCCGCACCCATGTCTACTTAGCTATGGTGTTTCTCGTATAGAAAAGATAATAGGTTCGTTCTACGAGTATATCGGTTGATGTTACATAAAATCTAGGCAAACGAGGATTATTCAAACACGTTAGAAGTTATACGTTAACTGGTGTTAGCGCGAGTACTATACTCTGAGAAAACGAGACAAGCTGAATAGCGGAGCAAGTCCAGCTAGGCTGAAGATTTGGGGTAAAATAAAATAGTGTTTCATCTGCGCATTATGACGTCATCATAAGACAAGGTTACTATCGGTCAATAACCCAATTTGAACTTGTGAAATTTTGACCACTTTGGTGCGATTTTCTGCCGTTTAATAATATTATTATTTAAATATTTTCCGATCATTTTGTCACAGATTTTAACGGGTGAAGTACGATTTTAGTTAGGCATTGAACGACTACTAAACCCGAATAATAGCGACAAAGAATAGTGAAACTAAAGTGTAACTGTAACTGTAAAATATTGTGAATTCAAATATCATCTACGGCTGAAGAAAATCCTAACCGGCTATAAACGGACTGATTCAAGGCCGGGAAATATCTGGACATACGCCGCAATGAAAGACCTTGTGCTACCGCTGACGCTGTTGGCTGTCGTCGGTCTCGGAATAGCATGCCCATCAAAATGCTCATGCACAGAAGACACGATGCAATGTATAGAACGGGGACTGACTTCAGTACCAACCGGGATTCCACGATCAATTGAAAAAATGTGAGTACATACATCTTAGTTGATAGTCTTCAACCATTGGCGTTTTCGATGTGAGACTAACTATTCTCATTTGATATAAAATATAATTGCACAATATTTTTGATATTGTGAATTTTTTGATATCAAAATTGATAATATTTTTAAAAATACTGACCATTTATATTTTGTTAAATTTTTATTTGCAAGTAACGGATTAACGTTGGGTCGACATTTTAGTCATTTATTTCGCTGTTATGACGTCAGAAGTTAATCACAATATTCCTTCTGAGACTCATTCAGCTGTTTCAACAAATCGATGCTATTTTTACCATGTAGGCCTACTAGAGTTTGAGTATTTCTTTTCAACCATCTAGTAATCTAACATGGGTTAACAGTGTTGTAGTACTTGCAATAAATGTAAATAATAACGAAATACTTTGTCCTGATTAGCCTTGACCCTTAGCCAAAACGGCTAATTGCAATATATTTTATGTTTTACCAAGAATATTTCTCCTAAGCTTTGAATGCTTTTTTATGACAGAAAGTATTTCCCTTCATTCCTGTTTTGTTCATAAAGTTTTGTTGAATAGTAGCCACTGTCTTATTCACGAGCATTAAATCTTAAATTGTACTCTTCTGTTATCAATTTTACTATAGGCTCGTGACCTTGATTGAGGCAATCTTGAGTTAAAATTTAAAAATTTAAAATTTACTTTTTGCGTGTATCAGCAAAATTATTATATTGGTCCTTCAGCACTTTAGGAACTAAAATTAACTTCAGCAACAAAGAATAGTTGACAGGAAATTCTGATGTGAACTCTTTCGCCTTAATGGACAATTGGACAGTCCATCCACGGCGTATCCCCGAGAGACGGAACATTAATCCTGTCCATGTCAGCTTGTCACAAACTCATGTGACATATTCGCCCATGAGAGTTTTGTTCCGATGGACAACTATTGTTTTAATATGTCATTAAGTTAAAAATTACTGCAAAGACACTTAAGCATAAATTGAAACCATACAGGTAGATAATATTGTGTTTTATTCCAATTTCAAATTACTACTTGTCGCGCATAAAGCGACGAACTTTGTCTATTCTGGTACTTCCCATAAGGAAGACTTTCAAAAGGTTTTGCTTAAATGGTTATAATTTGCGACGGACATGTCACATATGTGTGTGGAATTTTAATAACTTCGATTCTATTCTCAGGCCATTGTTAGGAACCATGTAGGCGTTATGTTTCTTGTATTCGAGAACAAATTCAAAATATTGCGATTATCATTTACTCGCGTTCTAAACATTTTCTCTGCTCATGCTGAGAAATGATTTCCAACTAGTTATTTGTTTTTTCATAAATTATAAAAAGCAAATATTGCTTTTTTGGTCATAAAAAGCATTTATACAAAAGTAAACATGTGTAAAACATTGATAAAATGTCCGGTTTTTCGAGATGAATTCTATCTTCAATTATTTCCAAATTTATTTTTCAAGTCAGTTCAAATAAAAATTACCTCTCATAATATCGTATAAATAATATTTATTCTATTTTCCAAAAAATATATCAAAAAGTTTCTCATCAAGTATTTGACATTTCTGTTTGAATTGATATCATTTACGTTATTAGCAGAGAGAAACAAATATAAAACGAAATGTATTTTCTTAATTTCCCAATTTACTTCAAAGCACTGGACGATATCAATAGGTGAACATACTAATATTTTCAATAGCCGGTGTAAATTCAAATTATTAAGTAAATAAAGCGTAATTCAATCCGCGTCGTTTCTTTGCAAAGTAATCAATCTAAATGCGACTTTTAAAGATCGTTTTGACTAAATTTATGGCAGATTCGAACATAATTAGATTTAGAAAGGTATTCACGTCCCCTCGACGGAAATATAATATATGGCGAACAACAATAACTGTTATGAAAGTTGTACGATTCACTAATATTTAGGAGTATTTCATATTTTGGTATGTACGCCTGTCAGACTTTATGAGCCATATACAGTAGTTGCTAATCACTTGCTACCATTGTATTTTTTCATCTAAAAGCAAACGTAGCTTTAGGATAAGTCAACGCAAATGAACAATATACTTTGAGCGTGCAAAATTCACGAATAGAAGTGTTACGACTAACAAGTGATTGCGAATTTGCCAGGGCCCTAACTAGATCCATTATGACAGCATATAGCGTATAACCTGATGCATTTCAAAAACCTGTTAGGTGACCAGGTATGTGGGAGCGAATTTCACAAAGTGCGAGTATTTGCCAAGTCTGCCAGAGTTATATAACGTCATGTACGGCAAACACTTGTTGACGGAATTGATATAAATCGACCACCATGGCCAGGCATGTATCAACGATGATAAAGTACATAGTTTTGTCCGGCATTTCTAACCTGTCTCTCGCAACTTTCATTTTGAATATTAAAAGCAAAGAGAAATGACAGCAGTCAATAAATTCAATCGTACGGAATTTGATGTCGATGTAATTTGCTGTTTTCGGTGGCCTTGCGGTTTTGTAAAACGATCAAAATGACACTCAGTAGTAAATTAGTTGATGGGAAAACCAACAATATTGGTTGTTCTAGTAATGTTTCGTCATAGTTAATTATCTCTTTTCAGAAAGAATGATTACATTTTGGTTTACTATATTTATTATTTAATCATTTAAGGTATTTTAAATTTCGCAATATCTTCAGTTTTTGAAAAAATTTTAAGTTCATGAAAAAAAAACGTTTGTGTTTTTTGGGTTATTCTACCCAAAATTGAGACTTTTGTATTTGAATTTAACAGTTGATACCACAAAAGACGTCGTCAAATAAAAGGATGAGAAAATGCCTCGCCTCGCTGGTCACACGCTGAGTTCTAATAACTCATTTTATTGACCCAATTCGCAAACTTATGTGCGTTTGGTCGCTATTCAATCTTTGTGTTGTTGTTTATTGCCTCCCCATGAGCACATTCATAAAACTGATTGTGACGTAAATTACGAAATAATGAACCATATTTCCATGACATTGTAACGTAAAACACGATTTCACGGTAGCCATCGTTTGAAACAAAGTCAAAGATCGGATGCCTAAACGTTGTCGTCTCTGAAATTGGTCTACGCTTGGCGTTTCTAAGTTTTATTATACACTGGACAACATATTCATACTTGCCCAGCGCATTTGTGGAAATTGGTCCCAGGAATGTAACCGAAAATCGTGATCAGAAGGAGTCTAATTAATAGTAAACATACGAATTGTATTTGACTTGCCAACGTAGCTCAATACAATAATACAATGTACAGGATTCTGAGATCTGGACAGCGTGAACATTTGAGTCGTGGTTTAATGTTTCCCGATAGATAAAACCGTAAGCATATTATGGACAGATAGCTTGTATTTAGCTCGTGCAATTGTATTCAATTCGTTGCTGAAATGAAAACAACGCCCCTCTGCATGGTTCATTCTTTCGTTTCAAATAATATTTAAACAATTAGACATGCTGAGTTACTGCTTAGGCCCCGAAACCAATTTGTTATTTATTTCACCCTTGAGCATGCTTGCGCAAAGCCTCGTTAAGAGTATAAGAGTGACATATCCTACAAAATCACTGAAAATCATCATTTAAAAACAAATTTCAAAACTTAAACAAAATATAGAAGCATGAGGTTGTGAAGTGAATTGCACCCACAAAAATACATCTGAAATAACGTGCTATCATCCGTGAGTGTCATTTCCACATTAAGTTTAGTTTCGTAATAGAAATTCCTCGCTAATCATTATGTCTTTACCATAGTGTGATAATCCGTGTGATAATAATTTTTTATTTTGAATGACCTGCCGTTCAAACATTGAGGTCTCTTACCCCAATAGATAAACGTGATAAATGGTAAATATTAGGTGTGACTAAGCGCATGTTAATTTACTACCTGTTGGACTACCCACTCGGAAAATGTTTGTTCTTTCAGGAAATGAATATTATGGTCACGAATAGGTTGTGCCACATCGTCGCCATATTTAGGCCAGACGTGGTAAACATTACTTTCTGACTCGGGGGCGGCGTGCTCGAACCGTGAGTCACAAAGCATTCTAATCTTAATTTTTCATTGTTTTTTTTTCGCAATGACAATGATATTTCATTGTAGAAACCAGAATTTACAAGTAACGAAATTGGTAACATCGCCACTGACAATTTTAGGAGTCTATATTTGCCAAATGGTATTGCATTGAAGAATTCAGAAAGTAAAAAAATTCAAAACAAATCTAAATGCTGAATTTGGGGTCTGTCTTTGTTTACTACTCACTTCTTGAGATCTAGGAGGTGACCACCTACCAAGCAGAACAAACGTATATTTGCGATCCTTCGACTCGATGATTAAATTATATATCTAGCGGCTTCCGACACACAGCGCGCTTAATACTGAGATATAATTATAGACAAGGGCCTGTAGCCTTACTAATGGGCTTTTCCATTTTTGGTAAAAGTTTGAACAAAGTTCACGGAAGTTAATACAAAACTATGTACTCCTAAATATTTCTAAGCACCCAGCACCCTTATAAGGATTTTTCGACTTTGATTTCCACGCAAATATTAAGCTGAGGATAATCCTGCTACCGTCTGTGGTGGGTCATACTTCAAACAGCAAGCCCACACCTAAATAACCTTGCAATACAGCTTTAACACGTTTGAGGGGATGAAGCAGAGGTTCATGTGTAGACTTCATTGACTAAACTCTAAATATTTAAATTTTTACAACATGAGTTTGTCTAAATAGCGTTGGTGGGCGAGATAATTGGATTATTAACGATCAAGAGCGAAATAAAGTAAGCCGTGTCTTTCATTGGCAACGATAATTGAAATACCTGCGCAGAAGTATCCATTGCACTGACGATTTACTCTTTTTGATCTTGGAATTGTGCGGTGAACAAACTACTCTCAATCACTGAGTAATACAAGATTCGTACAAACATTAAAAATGGTTTTTAAACTTTTCTAAACCCTTTTAGAATTGGCTACGTCTCGGGCACTACCGGACAAATACCCAATAGTGGGGCGAAAGTATGTTATATTGAAGGAAAAACATTGACAATACGTGAATGAAACGTAAATATCAAAAATAAAGCAATATAAATATCCGAAATAAGGCCGGCAAGATCAAATCTAACTTTTAATTGGCTTCGCGCTCCCCACAATATATTGTCTACGCCCCCACTGTGGGGAACGCCCCATCGTCTGAGAACAACTGGGATTATACAATAGGAATCTGCTCTCAAAATTCCCTGTATTATATAAAAAATACTTGAATGTTTGCGTTCACTTTTATCGTAGAATGACCGAAGTCTGAAGGTCTGTTTTCAAATCATCAGGAGATCGAATACTCTGAATACGATGCTGTAAAGTCAAACGACTACTGATTCCCTGCTCTTTACTTGAATATTTTTCAATGTGTGCTTGCCAAGAGCATTGTTTGGATAGAAAGTGTAAACTATGTCATGCTAAACGGTTTACACTATCATTGACTGAAAGGTGATGGATAACTGCAATCAAAGATCGTTGAAAAATAGGTACAATATTTAAAAACATCAAAAATGAGTGAGACAAGGATCTTTAGTACGCATGACATAAGAATTATATTTTCATAAATCGCCTTAAATAAGAGCATTTATCTCATCACCGCATTGAAATCAAATTTGAAGATCATAGGTTAAAAGCTAATGGAAGGTTTTATACAAAGTTAGGCCTTGTACAAATAAATGAACGCCATGGCTTATACTTGATTGGTAAAATTATCCGCCAGATTACCGTATTTGCGTGTACCTCTAAATCCCGGAAATTTACGTCTGGGTCGAAAGTTAGCGAAATATTGTGATTATCAAAGAAAACAAAGACATAGGAGTCAACAGATTTATGCCCTGCTTGCTCTACTTGATCTTTTAATAGTTGGCAAGATTGCTAGATATGCTTATACGTAGTTTAATACACCATTATATGCCCACCATGGGTGGAAGGAGCACCTTAACGTTCTTGCACTATAATAGAGAATTTGATATAAAACAATATGCAAACTCTAATATCCCATTATTTTGTTGTGAACAATGTTGTCTTTTACAAAACATTTCAATTCTCTAAGTTAATGATGAAAATTCTTTTGTTATTTCAGAGAGCTTCAAGGAAACAATATCTCGCACATAACAAGGTCGGATTTTGCAGGATTGAGGAAACTTCGAATTTTGTAAGTTGTATTTTATATTTCATTTGACTTTATTCAAACCCAAGTAATAAAATATTGATGTTTTTTTTACTGTACTTGAGAAATGAAATTTTCACACTTGGTATCAATATGTTGTTGTGTGTGAATTTGTTGTCAATTTAAGAATTGGTAAGTTTCACCTATGACTGTTTGGTAGTAGGCGAAAATGTATGTATAGGTCATTATTAGACGTATAAATGTGATATAAAAAGCATTTCGACAATCTCGTTACTGTTTTTATATTTCAATTTGACGTCAAAACTTAGAGAATTAAGATTTAAATTCTTTTTAGTGTATTTTATCTCAATACCATGATCCATAAATTCAGAGTAAAAAACTGAATGGATAGTATCCAGAAAAAATTGCTGAATTAGTAGCTTTCTGAATTTAATATTGTTAGCAAGTGTATTGTTTATCATGACATGAACCATTAAAGATCAATGGACCACAATTTTGATTAGTAATTGGGTTAAAATACGACCAAACTAAAATAAATCAACCTAAATTTTCCAATCAAAATCTCTTTTGAGTTAAATATTCATTCATCCATCATCGAGCCATAAATCAAAGGTTTCCCACCGCTTTGTTTTGATTTGGGATCGGTTGGATTATGTCTATATACATAGATTAAGAAAATTATAGATATGGGTTAAAGATAGAAGGCTTTTGCCCGGCTAAATACCCAGAATTTCCTTATATGGAACAAGGCATCTGCGTCGTTATCTCTGATATACAATTACGCTTCACGTATCAATGCTTCAAGCATATTGTTTATAAATAAATCGAGTGATAAAAGTATAATTCTATAATTTTGTATTTTTTTCTCAATTTCAATATATGATAAGAAAGTGAATGAATGTATTTTACCTTAAACTTGTACTGTAAACTTGAATGGAATTATCGAATTATGCAAATTTGCAGAGTTAGAAATATACTTGAATTTCATCACAATATGAGGTCATGTAAGTACACCCATATAGCTCCTACATCAATATTAATCTATCTTTCAGAAGATCAGTTTTTGATTCCGATTCTCATATCAGTTATATAGGATCTTCTGACAATCGGTTCTCGGGGCGATCTGAAGCGTGAACGGACGCGCTGACAAATGCCTGTGGGGTTAGTGATACATCGAACGCAGGGTATAGATGAGCCGCCTTAACACTGCTTTATGAAGGACGATAAATGATTGATAAAATCAAATGAATAAAAACTGATTATAAAAATTAGGAGATAAATGAGAGCAGTGCGTTTTATCATATTGTATCGCGTGTTGTCAATATTATAATCCTATATACTGTTATGGTAAAACAAAAATACTTTCACGATGTCCAGATTTTTCACGGAAGGCTAATAATTCCGGACATACCATACTCTATTCACTTGCATAAATTTGTTCTTTGTAAGTAAAGTTCATCTGGGTTCGTTATGTATGAATTTTTGATTATACCGGTTTTAGTATTGACACCATCTGCGCTGTTTTCGAGTTTCGCGAGATAATTTCTGATGAAACTTTAAAATTTGAGATATTTGAGACCACCCACCATGTTTTATTGGATCTGTGCCCGTTCTTCCGCTCTCCCGGGATTTCTTCACAAATTATTAAAATTTTAATTTCAGTGGTAAACAGAAATCGTTTTATTGTGCAAATTCAATTATTTTGTTGTCTTGGCATCGAAACCCTCTCCGATATGCAGTCTGTGTTTAGCTTAGTTCATAACTGAAGATTTATTTTTCATTTTCATTAGAATATTATATAAATGCACAGAGGCATTTTACTGCCCATTTTAATTTAACAAGTCCGAAGAAATAAGACTACGCAACTAAAATCAGCTAAATAAAAAGTCAATACGAAAAACTCGTCATCAAAGTTTCTAAACGAGATCTAAAATCCTCATTTTTTAGGTAAACTCAAATCCATCCACATTGATGGTCTGCGCTCCATATATCTGAATAAAGGATTATTTACCGTCCCCGTTATCAATTTCATTCAGACAATTTTCGGGAGGTTATACGTATTTATCTGTCTAATACCACAATTTGTGCGCAACTGGACGTCGAGTCGTTTTCCCCAGAACAAAGGGAACCGACGTCTTGAATATCAGGAGGTCATTCAACCTTTTGATGACCCAAGAATGACCTCTAGTAAACTCTGCTCAGTATTTACAACATCTACGAACCTAAATTGATATAAAATTGGTCTCAAATAGTGATAATTCAACCTATATATAAGATACCTTTTGATAAACGTCGCGAGAAAAATCTTTCTCTTTCGCTTTCTTGACATTGCCATAACTCTCACGATCTTTCGTTGTACAGGAACATTTCCCCATTAAATCTGTAATATCAGCCCTTCTCGTAATATTGACTGTTATTTTGGGAGTACATTCACTCGGCAATATAAATTTATGCATTGATTTAATCAGTAATTGTTTTCATTTATGATTTTAAAGCCTTGGAAATTATCGTAATCGCTGAAAATACCAAATAAATGTCATCATATAACTTTCATACATGCTAGCAAATAAAATAACATTGATTAATAAATTACAAACAGGCAATTTAGGCAAAAGTTGATTTCTGTGGTTTTTGCGCAGTCAAAGTGCATATTTCAGCGACATGTTCCAAATTTTTATTGACAATTATTGTCTCAAGTTATGGAGTAATATACACCCAGTAGCATATCAGATTATAAGTCATGTTACATTGCTCGAAAATCGCTAGACGATGAGTACAAGGAATCAGGTTGCAAGCTCATTTCATATTAATGTATTAGCCATTCAACTGTCAATAAATAAGATTGGAACTTCACTTCTTGCCTATATTTTGGTATAAGTGCCGTTTAAGAATTTACCAGTTTCGAAGCTAAATATCTTTCCTTGTTTCGCTAAAATTTGATTTATTTTCTTGAATTCTTTTTGTAAATGAGCCATTTATGGTGAGTGAGGATTGCAACCTAAAAATCTCAAGTTTCTCGTCTCGTGAGATATTAAGTGATATAAGACAAAATCCTTAATGTTCCAAGAACGTTTTTCTTCTCATTTTCTTACTTTTTGGCTGCGTGGCATTTGCATTAAATTCCGACAAGAATCCATTCAAGCTGTTATTCTATGTCGAGGAATTTATTTAGGGATACCACGAATATCATATTGCTTAATAAGATGAATAAGAAACCTATAAGATAATAGAGTTTAAGCATTTAAAAATCAGAAATACTCTTTAGATAAATCGTTTTACGCATTCATTTCAAACAACGTTCGAGTCCAGTGATCATTATACGCATATATATTTTGTGTCTATGGGGACATAGAATTCTTTTTACTTTGACTTATGAACGACCTAATTTATTTAGCTTTGGATGAGGTCGTTTGCAAGAAATTTCGAAAATTGTTACTTGTGATTCCGGCGTATTTATTCTGAAGGCCTAATTAATCACCGAATCCTCTTGTCGCAAAAAACTTTTCGAAAGCATGGGAACACTAAAACAGTTCAAATGACAATTATCATGTGTTGACACCAATTAAAAAGGATACATTTACATGGGAGTGTGTTTACAAACATAATTTGTATACACATATCGGATAAACATTCACTCGCCTTACTTATAAATATAAACAAAATTATTTACTCATAGGAAATCCTTTCATCGTAAACTGGCATCCCCCAAATTACTGTAAATTGAAGGTCACACAGCAATGAAAGTAATTAACGAAAGGCGGCCTATTAAATCACGTGTCTGTAATTATCGTAATATCAATATTTTACAACAATCCTAATTGTTCCTATCAATTGGGTTTCTGTGAGAACAAATATTTGTTATTTTCTATGCTTATGCGCTGCTGGTCAATATGTCTGCCTATAATACAAGGATTTTATACCAAGAATGAAGATAACTATCCTAAGTAATTCAAGAGTCTTGCTGCACACTAAGTCACTAACACAGGTAGAAACGTTACAAAATATATTTTGCATTGGTGTGTAGCAAGACTCATGAATCACTTAGGAACCTTCTGACAAAAAGTGAACCACAAACGAAATAACTTTTAATCGGATAACTTCAGGATAAGTCAAATAATATAAACAGGATTTGCTGTTGATGTTTTGTCAGTGTTATTCAACACTGTTTGAGGAACAGTAAACTAACTGTTGTCAGCAACCATACCATCTTTTCCCAATTCTAAATGACTTTCGCATTTTATAATTTATTGTCCTCGTTATAATTCCCCAAATTCATTTTCGATTAATCATGGGAGAAAACTGAATATATCCCGCGCAAATACTATCCATTTTGTATCAGATCCCAGAATCACTCCATTTGTCTTAGAATATACGTCCTCAATAACGGGGAAAGGGATTTTAATATTTGAAGAATATCACTAGAAATATTATAGTCTCGATGCACAAAACTATGCCAGCCATAAGCACTATATATACAATAATAATAAATGACTTTTCAAAAAGATTGGAATACAGAAAAATAGTTTTAAGCTCCTTTCCAGACAAATTTATCTGAATTTTGTGACAGTTTTCTGCGCCGAAAAGATTATCCTACCCGCATTATCATTACTTACGATAACAATATGGAACAAGAGATATAATAGAAATTAAAATATTTCTTTTCAGGGGATCATACAGTTTCGTTTAGTTAACCAAAAACAAACTTTTCTTTTCAGGTACCTTGATGAGAATCAAATAGTCAGCATCGAGAAAAATTCATTTGGGGAAAACAATCTTCTTGAAATACTGTGAGTTTTTTTTTGATTTAATTTCTTTATTATTATCGATTCCTTTTTACACAACTCACAAATTTAAAATTTTTTTAAGGAAAGATGTTGATCTGCAGTATATTTAGATTTAATCTACAGTACCTTAAATATGTTTTACGAGTTTCCAAGTTTTCGTATGTAGATTTTGTTCATTGTACATCCTATGGTGATATAACAACAGCAGAGAAACAAACAATGTAACATACAGGGTGTCCATAAAGTCCCTTCACAAACTCAATTTTGTTGTGAAGTTAGTTCTCAATATATATTGACCAGGTTTGTTGTTTTTTAATCAGTAACTGTTTAAATATTTTTACTTCATTTAATACATCTGTGAGGGTCAAAACAATATATATTATCGATAAATTCCAAGACTTTAAGGCCCCTATATATTCTTTTTCGTTATTTACATATCAATTAGGATTTAATTTTGCAAGAATGTAAATGTCGAACGAATCTAGCTCTGTGTGAATACTAAATTTATGGGAAGAGCTCAAACATTGATTTTAGAAGAATGCAATAAATATTTAATGCAAAACAAATAGCTAAACGTCAGCTCCATTGATCAAAATCAAGGTCTGCACGTGCCCGTTAGAGGTAGTTTGTCGACTCGTAACTCAAACAATCGTCCACGGACCAGTTCTACTGCTTGTGGGTGGACCTTACTTTATAACATTTGTTTTAATGCTTATTCCAAATGAAAGAAAGTTACATTGAATATTACCATACAAATCCGTGCATCTGAAACAAATAACTCGCTTACCCATTTATCGACATGCAGGCGTAACCGGACGAGAGGTCGTGGTTCGCCATATGATTGAGCCTGTCCGGGATAATTATGAAAATCCCATCGTAAGTGCATGTATTATTATACGTGGCTTCCGGTTCAAACTATGAACACTCCTTATCGTGTGAGTTATCTTTCGAGAGACTGACCGTTCAGTGGAATTCTATATAGAATGCCACCGCTGGTACACATAAATAGCGATAGTTTGTAGGAATAAAGAAAATTATCCGCAAACCAGACCTGTCTGTTCAAGAAATCTTTTGTAACACTGATCTCTGAAGTTCTGCACGGGTCTTGTTTTCTGTTTCAAGTGATTGAAGTCACATCAAATTATATAAAATATATATATATATATATATAATTATAATACCATGTGCCAGCCAAAGGCGAGTTGTTTAAATAAAATCTACAGACTAGGAGTAAGTAAATTGAAAATATGGTTTACGATTCAATGTTTATTTTCAATCTATGAAAGTCACATTGAATAATACCATAATACGCGCATGTATCATTTCGCGAGACCCTGCGCCGCACTCCACCTTATCGTGAGAGTTATCTTTTACAAGACCATACGACAGTAGAATTCTAAATAGAGAACCACCGCTGGTACACATAAATAGTATCATTCGTCATTTATGTTTCTGTCTTCTGTGTAACGTGTGGTATCACTTATCGGTGTTAGATAACTCCGAGTTAGAATAGAGGCATCGTGAGTGCATATGTTTGATATAATGTTATATTTGATAGTTATAATGGTTACAGACTAACTTGCATGGTAAAGTGGTGAATATTAATAAGCTATTTTATAAGTACCAATTGTAAGGAGTTATATTGGAAATGTGTTTGTATTATTTATAGGCCTTACCTGATTGAATAACATCAAAGAAGTGAATTTCTCTTTCAAAAAATAGCTTTCATGTTTTATTCCTGCGGGATTTCGGTGAAATGCATTTCCATATGTTGTTCTGAGCTTGTTCGCTTTGCCACAACATCATTTCCGATAAAGATTGTCATTACATGAAATGAATATCATACTGAATAACCTGAACTGTTTTCTAAGTTTGTGAATCTTGCACATATGATAGAATCGTTGTGTTTTGTCGGAAGAGTAATAATAAGACGATGTTGAGGCATTAGATACATCATCTTATTTCCAATACTTCTGTTTTTATTTTGCGCTGCAAGTTGAACAGAACTGTCCATTCTAAACTGAAATATAGTGAAATCTAAAATAGTATTAACGCCCACATTGATTTTATATATAGGGTGTCTATAAAGTCTTAAAATTTGTTTTAAATTACAAAGATAATTTATCGATACCATATATTGTTTTGGCTCTCACAGATGTATTGAATGCAGTAAAATAATTGACAATTACTGAATAAAAAACAACAAAACTGTTTAAGATATATTGAGATCTGACTTCATAACAAAATTGAAATTGTGAAAGGACTTTATGAATACCCTGTGTATATAATTGATTGAGAACAAATGATACAATTCTAATGAAAAGGCTCCCAAACTTGAAAAAAACTATCTATAAATCGGACTTATGACAACACTTCATTTCGTTAACGTAAGCTTGAGGTTTCAAGCTTACTTCAACATTATCGGAAACAAGATTTTGCCTTTTGAAAAGAATTTTTCCAATTCGGTGGCTTGGACTGAAAATTTATGACGATCGGTACCGACCTTGATAATGTAGCAAGTTGAGTGAATTATTAGCACAACCTAGACGTCATAAAATTTTATGACTTTGCTTTCAAAAGAATCGTAACATTTACCGATATTTTGTGATAATTTAAAAAGAAAGGTTCTGTTATTAATAGATGTCGTTATATGGATAAATTGCATTTATATCAGAACGCCAGTTTTACATGGTGCAAACCAAACATGCGAATCGCATTATGCTTGATCATCTTCAATTATTTAACGGTTATTAACGACCAACAAATGCCCTCTCATTTTACTGAATCATATATCAGTGTTGACGGCAGTAAACAGTTTGCCTTGAAGCGACGTTTCCCAGAATTAATTCCGATTAATCACAATTGAAATGAGAATTTGGAAAACTCAATGAAGATTAACGTTGTTAGGTTTTACATCTGCTTGTCAATCTAAACAGTGTCGCTTGAAACTTGTCTAAAGCATTGTTCGGAGTGAAGCCTGAAGCCGTAAATTCAATACCATAGCTAAAATATCGTCTTTTTTTAACTATTTTTTTAGTTTCATAAAAAAGATTTTGGGACACATTACTCAATTTTTGCTTGTTCCAAGAAATACAAACAATTGATGTTTTTTATTCATTTATTTTTAAAATTCTATACTGAAAATATGATTTAAGTCGACTAAATGTTTAATTTTATAAAATCTGCATAAGCTTTATAGGAACTGCATGACTCGTTGTTGACAGCTGTAGTCCCGACATTTTTTAATTTTCAAAGTGACCTGAAACGTAAATATAAAATATACCATTACCTCATATCATTAGTTACTTACCTAATTTAGTAATAGTTGTTATCCAGTAACGACGTCATAAATGTTATAAGTGGACGCAGGTGTTACTTTCTAACGTTTTTCAAAAACCCTCAACATATTTGAACAAATACATATTATTGTTACGTCATAAATGTAAGTGGCGTTTCAAAACAAATTCCCGCGAAATATAACAAACGACAGCTGTAATATGATTGTTTTGTAATAATATATTTTAAACCTTTTCGGCGCTGAAAATGATTAAATCAATTTGACACAATACAAATTTAAACTGCTCAAATTGTATTGATATGGTTTTAAAATCGACTTTTTTTTTCAGCGTCGCTCCGGAGATTTTAGAAAGTCAAAACTAATAAACTTAGTTATGTCTTCGTCTCCATTTGTTTATATTCAAACTGTGAGAAGGAAATTTTCTATTTAAGTTGTATAAACAATGAACGATAAATTACACCATGCTAGAAAGCTACCTCGAAAATCTTTAAAGAAGCAATTCCCAAGCTTTTTTGTTAAATTCCACCCTTCGCTTTTTTGCAGCTCTTTTTTCCTTCCTCACCATGTATAAAAGAGTAATTCATTTATTCAATATTTAAGGGATCGTTAGCTCAGCAGCAAATGTTATCCGCAAAAATTATACTAATAATAATTATAAAAGAGAACTATAGAATATTCACAACAAGTGCAACGAAAAATTCAAAAAATCACAAAATTCCTTTCTGGGGACGAAGTCTTTCCCTATTGGGAACATTGCTTAAACGAAAACACGATACACAGTATTTGTAAGAAAAAAAACAGAAGTATCGCGAATTCCAATTTTGTAAAGAATTTTACTCAACGATTTGTAGCGGTGCAAGTTGGTAGGGAGCCCTGTTAAAGTGGAAGCTGTTTAAATCGTCGTATTCAAATGTGACAATGTCATTTCTCACCCATGCTAGAATTAGTAATTTTTCCAGTCAAAATTTAATTATGATTTTTTTTTTGACGGAAGCAAAATCGCCTCCGTTAAATTATAACAACAATGATTCGGAAATGTTTTAAATATTTGTTACATTCACAGACCCAGAGCTTTAGTATGTCTTCCTAAAACTTGTGTTCCACGCATGTACAAATATATTCCATATTTATAAGCACGGCTGTTTGACGTAGATAGACAATCACGTACCGGGAACTTGTAATGTTAGTTCCTCCCAATTCTCAGACGATTATTTCCGCACTTAACACCATCTAGGTCCAATCAAAACAACTAATAGTTGAAGTATTTGTATCGGAATTATGAATTGAGAAATACAACTTCATTTTAATGTTGCTTTGATTAGCCGTTCTGTCCAATAAATAACATCAACGAATGAAATGTTAATACAGACTCATTTCTTGTTAAATTACAACACTTCTAGCACAATTATTACATAATTAGTTAATTACACCGTGGGAAAATTATATTTTGTGCTAACCTCTATAATAAAAAAGGTATTTTAAATAACAGTTTAATTTTGGTCACTTCTATATTAAGATACTATTTGATGTCTGTAACATATAAAAGTAAGGACAATTGTTTTTTGAAACCCTCTTTTGTGACCAATGTCTTTGAAAATTTATAATAATTTGGTAACCAGTCGTTTTCGTGAATTAAAACTATATTATTGGTATTGTTAGCTTATGTTCTAGTAATTAGATACGAAATAATAATGTGGAGTGATTA